GGCGGCAGGATAAGTTTTGTGTTAGTGTAGATGAGATCTTACCCCATCCTGACCTGCTTCCCCCTGTCAACCCCCTCTCCAGCCCTCCTCCCCAGCGGACTCGACCACCCATCCCCATCTCACAGGGCTCACGTTTTGCCACCCTTTAACTACCCCAGGCTCTGCAGAAGGAGCTAGACAAGCTTCACCCCCTCCAGGTGAAAGTCCTGAGCTATTTATACCTAATCCTGATGCACCGGCTGCCCAACAGCCTCACTGGGACCCTGAATCCTTCCACGGGATCACAAAAAGGGGGCACAGCGCATCCCACACTGACCACCACAAACCAGTAAAACCAGTCCTGGTCTCTGCAGAGGATGGGGATCCACCACAGGGGTCCCTGCAGATTGGTGTTATTAATTGCAGCTGATGAGAGCGGGGAATGGAGCTGCACTGGCTGCAAAGGGCAAAGCAGGGAGAGCAGCATCCCCGGCTGCGGAGCCCTCGCATCCCTCCTGCTGCTCCAGCCCCGGTGTCTCACCAGCCACCACGTTTACTAAGTCAGCAGGAACACTTCACTTAAATCCATCACCCAATATTCAAATCTGCCAACTGTTTGCGCGAGCGAGAGGCTTTAAGGCTGGTTGGCACGTGCCTCTTTGTTTAATCTGTTATTAAACCCGACAGTCAAATCACCGGGAATACAACTGAAACGCCTCCCTGAATTTAAGGGAGGAGAAGAAAACCTGAGCGATGGGGGCACAGAGGGTTTCCAGGCTGTGAGGGGACGGAGGACAGCGATGCCTTGGGAAGCTGCAGACTCCAAACTGCTCAGAGGGTTCATTTCCACACCCTGCACATGGAAAAACTCCATCCAGCACACGGAACGGGTTCAGACTGGGCTCTCAGCAGACACTGACCCTCTCACATTGCTGGCTGCCTGCTAAGTGCAGCCCCTCCACCCCATCATTTCAAGAGCAGCTTTAAAACTTGCCTCCCTGGGCCAAAACCAGCCTGACAGAACCATCTGACAGAGACCGAGCCTGCCGTGTGCCAACGCAGCTGCTGGAAAGCCATTCCAGGCAAACCAACGCTTTATTAATAATTAAGTAATTCAGCATACTCTAAAAACTGATAAAATAGGGGAGCCTCATCTACCCACGTCCCCTGAGCCCCAGGGACCCTCCCGTGAGTGGGTTGGGGTCCCCCTGGCCACTTCTTCACCTCCATCCACCCACCCAGCCCCGGCAGTGCCTGTGCCCTCAGCATCCCATCGGAGCCGGCTGGCGGCTTCCCCTCCTCCTCCAATTATCCTCACAGCTCATATCTCCCAGCTCTTCCCCTTGACCTCTAGCCTCCCAACATCTATCTTCCTCTGAAGCTTACACTAACATTAAGTTATTCCTGTGCAGACTCTGGGGGTGAGAAATCCTTCCCATCCAGGAGAATTTCAGCACCAATTTATCTTGGTGTTATTTTAAAGCCTCATCAGCATAGTCTTCTGTGCGCTGCTGCCCCGTGGAACTGCATCTCTCTGAAGCCAACTTTGGTGCCTTCATTGTGTGCCTCCCCTCCCTGCCCACTTACACACCCTCCAAGGCATCTCTCTTCATTTGCACGAGCCGTGGCTCTGCTTAATGAGGGACACCGCGCGCCGCGGCCCCCGCTAATGGGGCTCACTTCGTTATAAGAAAAGCTCCTCTTCAAACCGCAGCTTCCTGCGAGGCAAAGACCCAAATCTTACCACAAGGATTTTTAATTTGGGATTAACCGATCGGGAAATTAGATCACTCGTCCCATCAATCACCCTGCAGCCCCCGTGACTTCACGCTCCAGATATAGTGCGGCTGCAGCGGGAGCCAGTGGGGGGGGATTGCTGGCAGCAAATCACCCCAACCCTGGAGCTTTACTCTTCAGACACCACCCTCCAACAGCCAGTGCTTCCCTCTAACACTCTCTTTATTTTCTAATTTCTAACATCTTGGTCTTCTCTATCATTTGCACAGGTTGTTCAGCTGCTCGGTCTTCATGCTTTGAATGGGAACCACCTCTATTTTGTGACACGTGCTTTTTCTTTGGGACGAGCCTCTCCCTTAGAACGGCATTTTCTTAATTACAGCAGTAAGTTTTACTCAGCAGAGTAATTCCTTGAGACTCAGTGGGGATACCTGCATGTCTGACTGCGTGCAGATTATCCCCCCTCAAAAAATAACCCCTGTTTCCACGAAGCTCCTGCTCACAAACTGGCTCACTGGTATATTCTGTATATTCTTAGCACAGAAACACAAACGAGGTGTTGACACAGATAAGACAACTTTGTAAGACTTCAGAATCACAGAAAAGTTTTTTCATCGTTTCAGTACAGATAAAGATTCAACAAAAGCCTTTACTTTAGAAGCTTTTGCTCCCACAACTTACCTTTTTGCAGCAGGGTGGATCCCAGCAGAGCCTCCCAGTTCCACCGCAGCACAACCAGGTGCTGCTGTTGCCCTTAGATTTATTGACTCCCCCTTCATGTTTGGCACCTGGTTTAAATCAAACCCAATTAATCATGAGGCTCAATATTCTGCCCTTGTTCGGTGTGGGGGTATCTTCTATTGTGTGATTACTCTTTAGTTTAAAAGTTAGGAAATCCTGTGCCTGTGGAAGCAAAGGTTCCTGTACTTAACACTGCGAGTCCCAGAGACACAACCTGATTTATACAGGGGTCAGCCTGGAGAGCTGGGTGTTGTGTTACTTGTAGACAGGAATTCTCCTGGACTTCCAAAGCCACTTCCAAAAGAAATCCAAGTCAAATATTTATGTGGGAATCTCCTGTCCTATGTCAGATTCAATTTGTTATACTGTTAAAATAAATATACTGGCATATGCATACATTTGTGTGTATGTCCCTACACATCCAGGCATAGGCACACACATGCACACCCTTTATCTTGTAAATTCTTGCTTTTTTGCTGTCATTTCTAGGGCAACACTTAATAGAAGATGCAACGTAAGAGAAGCACCCGCTGGGGAAGCTGTGACACAGCCAAGGTCCCAGAAAGTCAATTATGCTGTAGGAGAGGGGGACGATAACTAATGAGATTTGCATGGAAATGACTGATCTGCTGATATAAGGGATCACAGGGACCGTGCCGGCAGAGAGTGGGAAGGGAAAGGTAAGGACAGAGGATGAGAGCACATCAGACATGGCTGTCCTAATAAGGGGTTCTTTATTCCTTTGTTAGAGGCCGCGCAGGAGACGGAACCGGGGGAGATCGGGCTGCGTTCTTGCAAAAGCCACTCATTGAAAATTAATGGCAGCTTAAGTTTTCAATTAAATTTTAATTTAAAGCCTGTGACTGGTGCAAATCAGCATAGTTCCCCTTGTGTCAGTGATTTATGTCAGCCGAGGGTTTGGCCCGGCACCTCGAGCCCGAGTCCTGCCCAAATACTCTGCCCCAGAGCTCCTTGGGCCAGACCCCAAAATGTGTGTAAGAGCTGAGAGGTGTGGACAGGACCGGAACCAATGTCCTCCTGAGAGCTCCATCAGGGGTCTGTCTGCGCCTGCTGGTATCTAAAAAACTGGCCCCAAGTCATACTTCTTTGCCTTAAAGGAAAAAAAAGAATCCCACAACCCCAAATCCTCTTGTATTTGCTGGAGGGGGGGGTCTGGTCGCAGCATCGTTGGGGCTCTGGGGTTTGGGGTGTCTCTGCTGTGGGAAGGTGGCACCTTCAGCAGGACACGTGTCCCCGGCCACCCCTCTGCACCAACTGCAGCCCCCGGCTCCCCGGGGCTCTGCCGGGACCTGGGGTCTCCCACCCAGAGCTTCGGCAGGATCGGGTCCATGGGATGCAAACTAGGGGGTGAGGTATTAGAAAGCAGCCCTGAGGAAAGGGATTTGGGGGTGCTGGTGGATGAGAGGCTGGCCATGAGCAGGCAGCGTGCAGTTGCAGCCCAGAAGGCCAATCCCATCCTGGGCTGCATCAAAAGCTGCATTGCCAGCAGGTCCAGAGAGGGGATTCTGCCACTTTACTCTGCTCTGGTGAGACCTCACCTGGAGCATTGTGTGCAGGTCTGGAGCCCTCAATATAAGAAGGACATGGACCTGATGGAGAGGGTCCAGAGGAGGGCCACAAGGATGATCAGGGGGATGGAGCACCTCTGCTCCGAAGACAGGCTGAGGGAGCTGGGGTTGTTCAGCCTGGAGAAGAGGAGGCTCCGGGGAGACCTAATAGCAGCCTTCCAGTACCTGAAGGGAGCCTACAGGAAGGCTGGGGAGAGCCTGTTTAGAAAGGCCTGCAGTGACAGGACGAGGGGCAATGGCTTCAAGCTGGAGGGGAACAGATTGAGACTGGAGATGAGGAGAGGGTTCTTCACTGTGAGGGTGGTGGAGCACTGGAACAGGTTGCCCAGGGAGGTGGTTGAGGCCCCTTCCCTGGAGATATTCAAGGAGAGGCTGGACGAGGCCCTGGGCAACCTGGTCTAGTTGGGGGTGTCCCTGCTGACTGCGGGGGGGTCGGACTAGATGGCCTTTGGAGGTCCCTTCCAGCCTGGGCAATTCTATGATTCTATGATGCTCTCTGGGTCAGCATTCCCAGGAGTTGAGGGACAGGAAAGGCAAGAGGGGGGCTGCTGGGGTTCCCCCCCCCTCTGTCACCCCAAGACCCCAACCTCTCCCAGCCCCACACATCGCTGGCCCCTGGCTGTGTGGTCTCGGGGCTGTGGAGGATGGAATGGGTTTTGCTGCAGCCCCGTTCCCCCCTCCACACTCTCTGCCCTTTGGAACCCACCCGGACCCTGAGGTAAAACCCAGAATCAGGCTTTTTAACATTTGAGAAACACTCCAGCCGCTGCGGACAGGGTAAAAATAATGAGCCATTGAGAGACTTTATATTTAATTAATAAGCCATTACTGCAATATTTTAGGTAAATAATGCATTTTAATTAACACATTAATAGTAATTGCAGAGGAGCTGGCTGACTCGGGCACTGGCAGGGGTGCTGGGGGGGGGCACTGTGCACCCCCTGCGCCGGCACCGCGGGACGGGGACGGGACCTTCCCAGGGGCTTTGTTGGAGAAGGGGGGGTTTGCTAAGGACTTGGTGGCTCTTTACACCCCATCCGATAGACGTGTGGCAGGAAATGTAATAAGTTAGGAAGCTTTACACACTCTTTTTCTTTTTTATATTTAATGTAGCCATTTCTCAATATGCCGCTCTCAAGAGGTTCTTTTTTTTTTCCTCGCTGTTGAAATCTGGCTGGCTTGAATCATTATTCCTGATGTTCCACAAGTCCTGCTCTGAATATTTTTAGAAGAAAAAAAAAGTGAGATTTCTGCTCAGGACTTTTTTGTTTATAAATTTTGCATAAATTTCTAATACAAAAGCAGTAAAGGCATTTAGCTGAATCTTCTCAAGAATGGGAGCAGCTTGTGATGTACAGAGCAAAACTCGTTGGGTTTAACGAGCTGAGAGGTTGGAAGAGGACGAAGCAATTAAGGGGAAGGAGGGATGTGGCAATGAGGGTCACTCCACTTTACAGCAAACCAGCACAACTTGTGGTTATCTCCTGAGCTGGGAGGGCTTGGTGAGGACAGCCGGGCAGAGGCTCTCCTGAGGCTGCTGCTCCCACTTCTTCTGGGAAGGATATTGAGGGTGATGACAGAAACCTCTTGTGTCTGCAGCCTCAGCCCTGAAAGTTCATGGTTTTGTGCATGAGGCTGGAATAGCTGGTTACAACTCCCTTGGTGCTAATTGGGCTGCACTGACCTCACACGGAGCGAAAGTTCAGGAGGGGTGAGTCACAGGCCCCCCGCTCCCCAAGAGCAGCCGTGACTGGACAGGTTTGACTCATGCTCGTAGACTCGATAATATTAATTAAGCACCTGGAAATAAAGGTCTGCGTTGAGTCCTTTTTTTTTCAGGCTCATTTGCACCGTTTGGAAAGAAACCCTCTGATGAGTTCCCGGCCGGTGATGCTCAGAGAACTTTAGAGCGATGGTGGTGACGGACGGGTCAGAGCCAGGTCCTTCTGGCCGAGATGGAAGAAATCAATTGGCAATTTTTTGTATTCCCCATTGGTTTTTAGTAGCCACAGTCCCATCCCCCTCACAGTGGCACCATTTGGTGGCTTCACAGGCTGACGCCCGCTGCCCTGTCACCACCTCGGAGTGACCCAGGCTCCCAGGGAGACCATAAAAAAGACATCAAGGTGCTGGAGCAGGTCCAGAGAAGGGTAACAAAGCTGGTGAGGGGTCTGGAGCACAAGTCTTATGAGGAGAGGCTGAGGGAGCTGGGGTTATTCAGCCTGGAGAAGAGGAGACTGAGGGGAGACCTTATTGCTCTCTCCAACTCCCTGAAAGGAGGGCGTAGAGAGATGGGGGTCGGTCTCTTCTCCCACGTGACAGGCGACAGGACAAGAGGAAATGGCCTCAAGTTCCGCCAGGGGAGGGTCAGGCTGGATATTAGGAAAAATTTTTTCACTGAAAGGGTTCTCAGCCATTGGAATGGGCTGCCCAGGGAGGTGGTTGAGGCACCATCCCTGGAGATGTTCAAAAGACAGGTTGATGTAGTGCTGGGAGGGCTGGTTTAGTGATGATGCTCCTTGTTTGTTGTGCGGGTGTCTATTTTTGTCAAAATTAGGTTGACGGTTGGACAAGATGATCTTTAAGGTCCCTTCCAACCCAGAAGATTCTGTGATTCTGTGATTGATTCTGTGACCTGCGAGGGGACACGCGGGGAGCGACCCTCTGGGTTGACAGCCCTGTGATGGGGTGGCATCGCCCCTTGGTTTTGCTGGTGGCCACCAGCAGCCCTCCCGCTGGGGGTGTTGGTGGGGAAGGATGCTCTGCTCATCCGTCTCCCCCCCACGAGGTTCTGCAGGTGGAAGGGGGCAGGGGGTGACGCTGGGACGCTCCTCCACGGCCAACGCAACAGTTCTCCTTCCAGTGGAGGACAGACCAGTGCCACTTCAGACACCTTGTGTTCCCTTAGGTAGAGCTGGCCAAAAGGGACTCCTGCCAGGCCTGGGACAGCCCATCCCACCCAGCCAAAGCACAGGAATATTCCGAAATCCCACCTCTCCTCCAGCCCCAGCTTCTCCTACGGCCGCTGAAACCAGCCACGGAGCAGGGAGGCTCCTCTCCCTCTCGGTCGTGCTCAGCCTCCTGCAAGGAAGATCCACAAGGAAGGGTTAAATCAATCACAACTAAATTCACTGTCCCTTTATTAACAAGTGTATCGGATTTAAATAATTAGCATTTTTATGTCACATGCCGTATACAGGGACACCAAAGGGATGGCAGGCGCTGAGCAGAGCCATATGGTTCTCTGATTAATAATGTCAAGCAGAAGCAGGCAGAGCATTCAAGGGAAAAAAAATCGGCAGGTCACAGAGGCAAGAGGCTCTGACGTGCCGTAAGCAGTGCTCGGGGCTGGGCTGGGGCTCTGCCTTGGGGCAGCATCTCCATCCCCCGGGCACCATGTCCCTGGTCCTTGAGAGAAGAGGACCCTGCTGTGAACTCCCCCTGACCCACGTCCCTGCACTTCAGCGAAACAGGTCCCAGCTCCCCAGCGTGGCCAGGAACCACCTCTTGGCTGAAGCCAGGTCAGGTCTGGAAGCTCCTGGAGAGAGGGGGGGTTCACACAGGCAGGGCCACCATCTCCTCTGCTTCTGAGGAAGGTCACCAGCAAGTTGCCTTCAGACACGATGATGGGGCAAATGGTGTGTGTGGGAGAGCGCAAAGGAACAGCGAAGGGACAGAGATGCACGGGTGATGTAAGGTCACAGCCTGCAAAACTCTTGGCAGGGGGTGTTCTGATTAGGGAGAAAGTCCTCTCCCTCCTCCTTCTCTTCCTCTTCCTCCTCCTCCTCCACACTGGGGGACAGACACTGCCTGGATGACCAGGCTCGGACCCCACTATCCCCACCAGTGGCACATCCAGGATTTACAGAGGTGGGGTTTCCAGGAAGGGGCTCAGAGCTTTTATTGCCCCCACTTCTCTGAACAGGATTGATGAGAAAGAAAAGCGATTTTCCATCTGTCTGCAAAGGAACTGCTGTGTTCTCACTCATACGTCAAGCAGACCCAGCAGAGAACGGTACAGACTCGGCGACAGCGCTCTACAAATGTTAATATGGTTTTTAATTGGCAGAAATAATAGCTGACTGCTGCACGCTTGTCAGACTGCTCCGTGGAGCTACTTGAGCCTACCCCATTTCTAAGGCAGAAGGGGAAAAAATTGCAATTCTGCATTGCAGTCGGGATTTATTTGAAGGAATTGAGGTGCCCAGCCGACACCGATGGTCACCCTCTGCTTGTCCCAGGGAGGAGACAGCTTCTTCTGCACTGTGGGGCTTGGGAACCCCTGGAGAAGCTGCAGCACCACAGAGGGTTAAGCAACAACTTTGGATGCTCTGTGAATGGGTATAAATATAAATATAAATATAAAATCCATATATATGGATTTTAGCAGAGCTCTTCTCACTGCATGGCTGGAGTCAACCCCACAGGTCGGGCTCCACAGCCTCTTTGGGGCTTGGTCCATGGCCAAGTCCTGCTGAAGTTAATGAGGGTCTGTGTGCATGAGGATATCAAGAAAACCAATCTGAATTAACTTTTAAATTGATTAGCTAAATTGCGTTAAATACCTTTGTAGACACTTTTGTTTAGAATTAAGGTGGACTAACCTGATTTAGTTTACTTCACCTTCCTTCCAAGCAACACCATCTAAATGGAATCTCCAAACAATTTAACCAAACTGCTTGCAATTTGCACCTTAATTAGTCAGGTGGATCCCCCTGAGCACCCAGAGTGGAGTCTGGGGGACCCCTGGGTTTCCTGTGTGGGGTGGGCTCCCCTCTTGCCGTGGGGCTGGGACACTTGGCAGTGTCCTCGCTGTCCCATTCCAGGAAACCTCCCGGGAAGGGATGACTCTGACCCTCAATCCTGCCTGATCTCCGTGCTCCAGCCACTCTCTTCACACCTTCACTGGGTTTCTCCTCCTCGTTCCACCTTTGGCACATCTGTGGGGCACGGCTGGAGCCAGGAGGGTGGATGGAGAATGCTGGTGGTTCCCAGGAGCCGGAGGATGGGAGAGCATCTGGCTTTCAGGACCCTAAATCAGGGACTTAATTACTTTCCTCATTTGCGTGGGGCAAACAGAGGTGAAGGGAGGAGAAGAAACCCCATCAGGGCCACCAAGGCAGGTGGGGCAAGGAAAGCAATGGCTGGTGGAGATTGTTGGCAAACACCCATTAATCTGGCTGCAGCCCATGCCCCTGGTACTGCAGCTCTGCTCAAAAGGTCTCCGTGTCCTTCTGTGGGGGGCAAGGGGTGGGGAAGGGCCATGGAGACCCCCCCAGAGATAAGGCAGAACACTGAGAACATGAGGTTTGCCCCGACCGGAGCGCATCCCCAGCTCCTTCCTCCATCCTTCCACGACACGGGGCATCCTGGGACAGAGAGGGCAGGAAAACCGCAGGAAAAGGGAATTCTGGGCTCATTTGGGGCATCAACAGCACAGGGCAGGAGCCACCCTCACACCCATCATCCCACCCAGCCCCGGGCTGTCCCTGTCACCCCCTGGGACACCAACCATTGGGGCAGCTCCATGAAGGAAGGGGCTCTGTGGGAATTACGGTGTCGGCTGGAAACTGGCATCAGCTGAGGTTATTTTCAAGGACAGAGGAAGGTAATTCCTGCCCCTCTTCACTCGCTGCGCAGGGCAGTAAGGACAGCCATGCAGCTCTCCCCCCTTTTTGGAAGAGTTACAATGCAGCTGAAGTATTTTTAGTAAGACCTTAATTAAATATTTCAGGCTGATGTTCATCAGCAAGTAAATTCAGAATGCAGGACAAGAAAAGCAGCTGTGCATTATTTTTCTGAGTAATTATATTTGAATCTCTGTGGTACGGAGAGTGGAAAAAAGAAAGTAAATTATACAGAAAATGCATTCAAGAAGATTTTAATGTTATTACAAACCTTCATTATAATGTATGATCAAGCATGTAAGTGAAAATCTTAGGACCCGTGGGTAACATATCGATTCTGGCGGACATTAAAATTTCTATTTGATGCTTAAGCAAAATCTAATCTGACTTCTGATTTTGCAAAATATTTTAGGGTAATTAGACATGTTTGTGCTTTATTGATTCTTAAAATGAACATAAGCATGTGGGGAATTGCTAACGCTCTGGATTAAAGAAAACGAGACTCCTCACTTTGCGAAAGTTCCTGCAATTAAGTCACCTTCTGCTGATACGGCCCTCGTCATTCTGGATGGAAATGAATGCAGGAAAAGCTACGGGAGCTTAAAATAATAATGATCGTAAAAGTGAAGCTTTAGGGTTTAAACGAAAAGATTGGTTTCTTGTGCTCCTGCTAAGGGTTCCCTCGGGCTTTGGGATAAATCTCTGCTCCAGAGGTTCCTGCCGTCCGGCATCGCTGCTGCGCTGAGCATCGCCCGCCCCCCCCCTCCCCCTGCTGCTCCCAAGGATGTGGGGGGTCCTTACCCACCTTTAGCTTCTCTGCACCACTGCTCACATGGGGGGGGGTGACAGAAAATGCCTTCTTACTGGCTTTACACAGGAGAAGGCTTCAGGCCGGGCTCATCTTCACACTGTAGCTGGGGGACCTGGGGAGGGGGAGCTGGGCTGGGGGACCCCGAGTCCAGGGTCAGACCCAGAGTCGATGGACATTTCATTAAGGCTGGGAGAGGCTCGTTTCCAGTTTGCTTATTAATATTATTACAAATAATCTTTCATCTTGGAGACAGGGGACTGGTTCTTCCCCTGGCCATGAGTCAGAGCACTGCACAGGAGCGATTCGTGTTTCCTCCTCTTTAACAAGCAGACGAGACTCCTCCAGATATACATCTATATATTCTAGCCAGTGAACTCCAGATGAAACATTTTGGACAGAAAAAATCAATGGGAGGACATATGTATTCCCACCCTGAGCTACAGCAGTGCAGACAGCGGCAGAACATCTCTCCATCTGCTCCATCCCATGTTTATCCACAAGTCCTTGCACCCCGCGGGGCTTCGTCAGGTTTGCATCCAGCCTCAAGTGAACTCAGAAAGTCATCGATTTTAAAGACAGAAAGTCCTGCTGGAGTCATCCCGGTGTCTCCCACAGGAGCTGGGCACAGGACAGCCCAGGATGCAGTGTTCTGATTTAACTGCCTCAGGAGGGGGAGTCTCACCAGGGACCAGGTTCCCTGACCCCGGGAACTGGGATGGTCCTAAACTCGGTGCTTAAAACCCCCATGTGCTGCTGGCCGTGCGGGGTGGTGGGATGCAGGAAAGGGGTTTTGCTGCAGAAACACCCACAGCCACCACCAGCATCCTCAGGGTCTCATCGCTGACCCCATGGGAGGTGGCAGCTGCCCCCGAGGGCTGGGGGACTGTGGGAAAGAAAGGGAAGGTTGGTGAGGAGGACTGTAAATATGCTCAAGTGACTCACATGTGGGGTGCTGGAAAACACACCTATCACACTAATTGTTGCTTAGTTTTGTGTGCCCAACAAGTAGAACATCTGCACTCAGATAACATGGGCCTGGGATGGACTCAGGGGCACCTTAGAGTCATAGAATTATCCAGGTTGGAAGGGACCTTAAAGATCATCTAGTCCAACCTCATCAAACACGCCTGAGATTCCTGCCCTGCTGTTGGAGAGATCAAAGCCCAGCAGAAAACTCTGCCTGCCAGAGTCCTTGAAATACAAAATCCTTGCTTCCAAACAGCAAGTGGGAGCTCCCTCGCTCCCTCATTCCCTTGCTAACGAGGAATTTTTTACTCTGAGGGTGGTGAGACACTGGAACAGGTTGCCCAGGGAAGTTGTGGATGCCCCATCCCTGGAGGGGTTCAAGGCCAGGCTGGATGGGGCCTTGAGCAACCTGGTCTGGTGGGAGGTGTCCCTGCCCAGGGCAGGGGGGTTGGAACTCGATGATCTTTGAGGTCCCTTCCAACCCAAACCATTCTGTGATTCTATGACTCTCTTGCTAATAAGGACTCCTGCTCTATGGTGCCTGCGTCCCCTGCCTCTGCCTGGGGGCTGCTTCAGAGGTTCCCCGATCCATGAGGTATTGACATTAAATGGTTCTTTGCCCTTAATCCATGGTTTTGTGGTTGTTCCTGTGTCCTGCCTGCATCAGCTCACACAGGGACACAGACCCAACACCGAGGACAGAACCCAGGCCCTGGAGCAGAGGGGACAGGGTGGTGTCGGGGACGAGACCCGTGTCCTCTCTCTGCAGTCACCAGCCAGCTGCCAGGGCAGGAGATCTGCTCAAAACGGGCAGAAGGACAGGAGTTCAACCGTTTTGAACAGATGGTGGAGTAACGTTCAGCACCACAGCCGGCGGGTCCCCCAGCGGGGCCTTTCTGCTGTCATTTACTGCTCTGGCCATTTGTCACGGGGGCACAGAGCGACACACACACACACGTGTGTGCACAGCACCAGCCACACACCACTGCCAGGGGCGGACGTGCACACCCCCCCCCCCCCCC